CAGCTGTTTCAGTTTATATACCTATATCAAGGCTGCACAAACCTTTTCCCCAAAATGAAAATCTGAGGGCTGCGGCCAAATGCAATAATATAATTCATGAAATACAAATACTTCTTAAGTACAGTCCTTTTATTTTAATGATTATGTCTTGCTGGAGTGTGACATGATTTGTAATACGGTATCAGAGTTTTATATATTTATACTTCTCATTCAACCACAATTAAATTCACTCCATCTAGGCACAATTTATATTGATAGTATTAATTTTTTTAACAATAACAAGCTGGAATGAAAACAAGCAAAACGACTTTCTACTTCTTGCCTTTTTTTTTAATGTAAGGAGTAGAAGTAAAAAGTAGGCTGAAAAATAATTACTCAAGTAAAGTAGGCCTACAGATACCCAAAAATTCTACTTAAGTACAGTAACAAAGTATTAGTTACTTTACAACTCTGCTCAAGTCAACGTGTCTGAAATTAGCTTTTTTTCTGGGACTGGGTGGACTCACCCTTTGCCCTTAGGGATAAAGTACAAGCTCAAAAACAGCTAATAATTAATTGAAGCATAACTAGTCGTATAAATATCTGGTTAGTCAAAATTTAATTAATTCTTGTAGCTAAGTATAAAACAGACCAAACTTAACTGTTCAGACAATAATCCATATCGCCTTGTGCTTTTCACGTCAGAGGAGTTTGAAGCTAACCATCAATTCATGAACTCACGTATGTCGTTTTTATTTAAAAAGATAGCCATCATTAATAAAGCTTCAGTTGCGCYTGCTGTGTTTCCCATCACAAAGTGGTGGTGGACTGCCGCGTGGTGATGGTGCGCAGGCGGTGAGTGCGAGTCTGAGGGTGCTGTTGTACGAGGCTCCGAATTGCGAGTCTGTACCTGCCAGACATCAGGTTGTACAGTAACGGGTTGACCGCGGCACTGAGGTAGAACAGGATGGACGACACAAGATTAAAATACTGGGACAAATAGTATAAAAAGTACATGTGTGCGTCTGGATGTGAGTATGTGTTGTTCAAGTCTCTGTGTGTATCGTGAATGTACAGGTCAGTGGGGTGTCCTTGTGAGTTAACTAATGATGAGTCATTGGGTGCTCCCAGAAGCATGTTTGTTCCAGGAGGCAGATTTTGCATACTTGTGTCAGTGTTCCCATGGTCTGATTCAGTTTGTGTAGAGACAGGAGATTTATCTGCGGCCGAAGTGTGTCTGTGAGTGTTGATTTTGACTTCGGTCCTTGGACACATGTCACAGAATCTCTCATATGTCTCTGTGAGAGGTTTTGTAATCAACTTTCCAGGCTGGGAGAGAGACTCGTCAGAATCTGGGTGGCTGATGACTTCAGGATCTGCGTGAAGGCTGATATCTTTGTTGGCATCGGTGTTCATGTCAAAGTGAGAGTTAGGGTCCGTATTTGCTTCCTGTCTGTCAGCACCAGAGCCAAGAGAAAGGGAGAATATGGTCCGACCAACATGGAAGGGCAGCCAGCACAGGACAAATGCCAAGACGATCACTCCTGAGGGAGGTGAAGACAGACAAGGAAATTCATGAGACTGACTTGATCTTACAAGTTAAAGTGCACAAGTCAGAAAAACACACTGGAAAAAAAAACAGCAGAATCACTGGAAGTACTTTGGACTCAAACGACTCAGGCCACCTTACCAYGGTAGCTCATCAATGTGCTAGAGAAGGGGGTCTCTGCAGTCACTAAGTGGGAGTTTCTTGTTTTGTGGGGGGAGTTTGTTCTAGACGTGATTGGTCAGATTAACTACTTTTGGTGGGGGTTAGTAACTCGTCAAAACAGCCAAGTAGCACCAATATTTTTAAATATAAATATTAATTTTAGTAATAATTCGAGACAGGAAGTTGCTAACTGCACAACATTTGAACACCATATACATACGTGGAGGAATGAGTAACAATTCTGCTTGATCAAAACAGCCCTAACCCGCCTGGAAAAAGATAGTTACTTTTGAATTGAATATTAATTCATATCAATCATAACTTGACACAATACTAGTCACYCCAAATTTGAAGAGTATAAATTATGTTTACATGTTCACAATAATTTTTATTTGAGACATTTGGTCTCAACCAGTGTTCTGTTTTACACTATAAATAGACAGTCGATAAATTGTTTACATTTTCACAATAATTACCATAACCATTATTTCATCTTTTAACTTCCCTCACAAGAAAAGTCAYTCACGGTTTTGCCAAACTCCACCCACCCAAGACCRTCTGGGTATATCTCAAACACATCCAAACATGGTTAAGACAAACTCTGCCCACTCCAAAGAACTCCACCAATGACGGTTTTTGCCAAACTTCACCTATCCAAGAAACTGTCTATATTCCAATGTCAGCCTATATTCCAATTTCAGCCAATCACAGTTAGGACAAACTCCGCCCTCCCACTAACTCTGCAAATCACWGTCAGGACAAACTCCGCCCACACCGAGAAGAAATGCCCCCAATGTACTGCAGATATCCCTATTTGATAAGCTGTGGACCTCAGAGAAGTCAGGTCTTTGTTCTGGGTTAATAAACCAGCTGCTAGATAAACATTTACATTGTTGTCACTTTTGTATTACACAGTTATTGTAGCAAAAATGTTACAAGAYTCCTGCTGAAATTAATCCTGGGCTACTCAGGAGTCTTATAGCTTGCTGTTTCTGCTATTATAAGTTACTAACGCAATCATCTTCGTAAATCTCCACGTAATATGAAAACGACAGCAAGGTAATGGCCTATGAAATTACATCATTCACATGAATCGCTATGAAATTTTGAAGAAAAGGGCTTTTTAAGATGATGGCAGTCCACTCTGATCTTACGCAATCGAACGTAAGGTTATGAATATAACCACGGTTCCTTGAAGGAATGGAACGAAGTACAACACACAGTTGTATATGGGACACACGCACCCTCGCGTGCCTGGCTGAAGCCACCTCTGATCACGTCTTTAGACCAGTGACGTGGTGACGTTGAATGTRGGGTGACAGGCTCCGCCTTCACCCTATAATTTCGGAGCCACCAGCGTCATTACTCAGTTAGATACCGCCCTTCACCGAGCCCAGTGTGATGCGGGACCAACAAGGTGTTGTTCTTAGTTCCATTCCTTCAAGGAACCGTGGTTATATTCATAACCMTACGTTCCTTTTCAGTCATTTCACTCAGTACAACACACAGTTGTATATGGGACTTGTCAAAGCGCCCCGCAGAGCAGTATCAGACCTGAGTTAAGTAGTGTGCCTGAGTACTGTACTAATGCAGAGCTTTGGACCCGGCAGAAAGTACAGAATGAGCCACTGAAGGGGCTGTTACATCCAGGCTGTAGAATCGTGCAAATGTGTTTGGTGAGGCCCAGCTGGCCGCGGCACAAATGTCTCTCACAGGTACCCCTTTAAAAAGGGCCCAAGATGTTGCTACACCCCTGGTGGAGTGAGCTTTAACTCCAAGAGGGATTGGAAGGTTTTCACTGCTGTATGCTAGCAAGATGGCCTCTACAATCCAGTGAGAGAGTCTTTGTCTAGAAAGAGCTGTACCTCTGTGTGGGTTAGCAACAGCCACAAACAGCTGATCACATGACCTTACATCCTGTGTGTGGCTGATGTAAGTGCGTAGAGCACGTACAGGGCACAGAAGATGCAGCCTCTTTTGCTCCTCAGATGCAAAAGGGGGGTGGGGGTGAAAGCTGGAAAGCTCTATAGACATAGAGCTGTAACTAGAAGGTATCACCTTAGGAAGATASGCAGAGTTAGGGTGCAAAACCACTTTAGAGTCATTAGTAGAAAACTGGATACAGAAGGAGTTCACTGACAGAGCGTGGAGGTCCCCGACCCGTTTAGCTGTAGCTAAAGCCAGAAGCAAAGCAACTTTATATGAAAGAAACTTAAACTCTACAGACTCTAGAGGCTCAAATGGAGGGTCGCAGAGAGCCTCAAGAACCACAGTGAGGTCCCAAGAGGGAATACTGGGTTTAATAGCAGGCCGTAGCTTACGAACCCCTTTCAGAAAACGCACGGCTAAAGGATGAACACCAGGTGTGACTCCATCAAAACCTACATGACAGGCAGAAATGGCTGCTAAGTAGACTTTAATTGTGGAGAGCCCTATTTTTACACCATTGCTCAAAAGCTTGCCACTTATAGGAATATAATCCTCTAGTGGATGAAGCTCTTGCGTTTTGGATAGTTGCTATTACTGCTGGAGAAAGGCCTTTGGCTAACAAGCTGGACCTTTCAGCAGGTAAGCATGCAGCTTCCATAGTTCTGGGTGTGGGTGAAAAATTTCCCCCTCTGCCTGAGAGAGGAGATCTTGTTGAACCGGAAGTTGCCAGGGTTGAGCTGCTAGCAAGCTGATTATCTTGGCGTACCAAAACTTCGCTGGCCAGTGGGGTGCCACTAGGATCAGAGACAGGCTCTGTCCGCACACCCTCTCTAGTACAAGTGGTATCATTTCCACTGGGGGAAACGCATACAGAAGTACATTGGGCCAAGAATGAGCTAGGGCGTCCACTCCCAGAGGAGCGCTCTGCTCTGTCATGGAGAAGAACAGAGGACAGTGTGCGTTTGCTCTGGAGGCAAACAGATCTACTGTCGCTTTGCCAAACAAAACCCAAATCTGGGCCACCACAGTGGGATGCAGCCTCCACTCCTTTGCTAGAGGTCCGCCCCTGGAGAGGAGGTCTGGACCTTCTACATTCAGTCTCCCCGGAACATGAATGGCTCTGATAGACAAAAAATGAACACTGCTCCACTGTAAAAGAGAGTGAGACAGGTTCAGCAGGGGAAGGGACCGAGTCCCCCCTTGTCTGTTTATATAAGAGACCACTGCTGTGTTGTCCYTTCTGATTAGAAGATGATGGTTCTCCAGAACTGGACAAAAATGTTTCAGTGCTAACAGGACTGCTAACAATTCT